ATCCTCTGAAAAGAGGCATGCAAATGTACAAAATACCAAGGCAATCACTTTGGCCAAAATGTCTATTTCCAAGTTTTCTCTACATATGAATTGTTACCCCAAATTCTTAGAATTTCTTTTCTGAAATTGACTTATTTTTGAAAGTTGTCGTTCATATCAATCATTCAAAGGTAGAGCTGCAACCTTAAATTTTCTTTTTCTTTTTGTTTTAATAAACTTTGTATTTTTTTTTCCGTAGAACCAGCCTCAATAGTAACTGTATGGGTATTTTAGACATTTTTATGCCTTATTTTAGAAGATTCTAATATAGGGGGTCTACTTGCAAACTGTTAGAAAGTTTAGAGGAGGTGATTGCAATTACCAAATTTCAAGGTAGATTTTAGCAACATTCCAATAAATTTCAAGGGAGGTTTCAACTATTTATCCTTTTATTTATTAATCTAACCCAAAATAAATTAGATGAAAGGATATACATGATAGGACACGAGAGAAAGAGAGAGATGGAGGGAGTTTTTAAGGAAAACATTAGATGGTGGGAATGTGAAATAGTTTGGAGATGTCTTAGGAATTTTTTTCTTCGGAATTTTAGGAGARGGTTTATATAGGGGTAAAATACTTAACCCTACCCCTGATTTTTCACCCAAATATTGAAACATCCCCTAGGACCTCCTCTATCCTCTATGAGATGATATCAATGGACAAAAACCACCCATATGTTGACTTTCCATCCACATCTTTTAAAATGTGACATCATGTGCAAGTTAAGTTTTTTAAAATCCAAATTATACCCTTTCCTTGCATTGTTGTGTCTTACATAACATCATGAAAATACAATAAAAAAGATAAAAATACCAAGAAAAGAAACAATCTAAGTGTTAAAAGTGTGAGGGCATTTCTATCCTTTTGTTTGTTTTTTTTTTTTTTGTATTTGGGATTTGGGCGCCTATTCAAGGGCACCTTTGTAATTTTTCTTACGAAGAAGAAATGAAAAGTCTCTTGGTGTGAACAGTGCCACACCAAGCATTCCCGACACTTCCATCTTCTTCTTCTTCTTCTCCACCTCCTCCTCCTTCTTCTTCTCTCTTTTCAACATCTCTAAACTTTACATCTCGGTATCAAAGCTACACATGATCAAGAAAACTCTGTATTGCTGGTCGTGACTCATAGATCTACTGACGTTAGCACGCTGTCGGTTGACTTCAGCAGTCCGTATAGTCAGCAACATCTTCATGGGTTTTTGATAATCTCTGATTTGCCCTAATTTTAGAGGAATTTTGGTATAAGTTTCATGGTGGTTTGAAGTTGTTTTGGATTTTTCTTTGATTTTTTGGATGAAAATTGGTGAAAAATCAAGATATGGAATTTAGGGTTTACATGCTCGTATGGTGGATTGGTTGATGCTGAAACCTCTTGTGTTTGAGTCGTGGTAAATCCCTGGGATTGTAGGAAGTAGTCCTAAATTTTTTAGAGCCCTAAAACTTTTTTTGGGAATTTTTTTCTTCCCATATTTTGCCGCTAGTACTTATTTTTCCTAGGTTTTTTGCTATAACTCATGTCTAACCTTGTGGAAAAGGTGTTTGGGAGTTCAACTGTTGTTGGAAGGTTGTGGTACTAGTGAGAAATTTATTTTGGAGGGGCTGCGATCAATGGACTCACACAAAGACATCCATATACCTACCTATGTTCTCCTAGGAAGCAATAACARTGTCGGAAGACAAATTACTACTATAAAACTTGATGGGACAAATTTTCTTGAATGGTCTCAGTCAACCAAGCTTACAATTGGTGGAAGAGGTAAGCTCGAATTTATTATCGGTAAGGAAGCTAAGCCGAAGCCTGAAGATCCACACTATTCCAAATGGGAGCAGGATAATCTGCTGGTTATGTCATGGCTTGTATGCTCTTTGGAGCCACACAACTCTCATAACTATATATGTTCCTTCCAATAGCTAAAGATATTTGGGACAGACAAACTGCAACTTATTCTCAAGTGAAAAACACTACTAGAATCTATCAATTGTGAAGAGAAGCATGTAATATGCGACAGGAGGAGAAATCAATGTCCATGTATTTCTCCTCCTTACAATCAATTTGGGAAGAAATTGATCATCTTGAGGATTTGGAGTGGAAAGATCCCGTTGATGCTGAATAATACAGGAAGTACATTAAAAAAACTCGAGTTTTTTATTTTCTTGTTGGGATAAATGCTGATTAGGACTTCACTGGGCAACACATTCTTAGTGCTAATATTTTGTCACTCTCCACAACATATTCTCTTGTACATAATGAAGAGAGTAGGGGGAATGCTCTGATGCAAGTGTCTGTAGGTGCTTTTCTTGTGTCCACAAAAGCTTAAGCAGAGTTTTGATAAACATGAGGTATTTTGTGAATATTGTAAGAAGCCAAAGCATACCAACGATAGATGCTAGAAACTAAATCCCCACCTGAAACCTAAGAACTTTTAAAACTAGAAAGAAAGTAAATGGTCATGTTGGTACTGCAAGTCATGATTCTCAGACTCACATGCTTGAGGAAAATCCTGTTGCTCCAGCATCTACTCATGACACCTCTGATGTATGGAAAAATTGAGAGGCATATTACTCCACCTTGAAAACAGCGGGTTGCCTACATCTACTGGTTCAAATGCTTCTTCCAATGCCTTTGCAAAATTAGGTATTGCACTTGCGTGTTATGTTCCACCCTCTAGCACTTGGATAATTGACATGATTCATTGATCATATGATTGGTATGCCATTCTACTTTACCATTTATAGACTTTTTTCAGGGAAAGGTACGATTATCGTTGCTAATGGATTCCAGACCCCAATGTCGAGTTTTGGTGAAATTAAACTTACCAATAGCCTTGCTCTGAACTCTATACTCCATGTTCCACAATTGCATAGAAATCTCTTATCTGTTAGTTCTCTTATAAAGTTTTATAATTGCTCTATAACCTTCTTTCTATCTCATTGTGTATTTTAGGACCTTAGTACAAGGAAGACGATTGACAGTGGGCATGAAGTCGATGGAGTTTATCTTCTTGATCAGTCTCCAATGTTAGGGTTGATGTGGCAGTCTGTGTCTTATCGTGATGAGAAACTAAGTTAACTGAAATTGTGGCATCATTGTCTAGGCATGTGCCTTTTGGTTCCTTGAAGTTTTTATTTCCTAGTTTATTTCAGTCCTTGCCTAGTTTTGGTCTGTAATGTGAAGCCTGTCAACTATCAAAGCAACGTAGGACAACATTTTTTGCAAGTAACAAAAGAAGTAATGTTGCTTTTCATTTAACACATACTGATGTTTGGGGACCTTATTCTATTCCATATATGGGTGGCTACAAATATTTCATTCTCTTTGTTGATGACTACTTACAGTATACTTGGTTGTATTTGATGAAGAGTCGAGATGAAGTTCCTTCAATTGTGAAAGGCTTCTTTAGTATGGTGGAGACACAGTTTGAGAAGAAGATTAAGATTATTAGATCTGACAAGACCAAGAAGTACTTTGAGAAGCACTTACAAACCTTCCTTGAAGAAAAAGGAATAGTTCACCAGAGTCCTGCCCTTATACTCCCCAACAAAATGGGGTATCAGAGAGGAAAAACAAACATGTGATTGGAGTTGCCAGAGGCTTGTTATTCCAGATTCATGTTCCAACTCGGTTTTGGGGGGATGCTACTTAAACAACTGTATATCTTATTAATAGACTTCCCTCGCGGACCCTATATCTCCAATCTCCTCATCAACTTTTTTTTTTTTTTTTATGAGGATACATTCCATCTTCCTTCCAAGGTTTTTGGGTGTGTTTGCTTCGTCCATGAAATGAGTCCTTCTACGCTAAAATTTGATCCAAAGTCTATAAAGTGTTTCTTCTTGGGATATTCTTCAGTCCAAATGGAGTATCGTTGTTATCACCCTTGTTCTAGAAAAAGGTATGTGTCCAAAGATGTCACATTCTTTGAGTCTACTCCCTTCTTCTCTATCTCTCATCCTTCTCTTCAGGGGGAGGATGTTAGTGAAGATCAGACTCCCTTTTGCATGTTGATTCCTACAATTGATGTTGTTAGTCCTTCAACTCCTCCTCCTCCTCCTCCTCCTTGTGGTCATAGTAGTCCTCYTCTTGTCTCTCCTCCTATTTCTTGGTCTTGGCATCAGTGGTTCGTCAGACGAAGAAAGAGGATGACTCCAGAGATTGAATGTCCATTACAATTTGACCTCCCAGACTCAAGTAATTTGGATTCTGAACCTCTTCTTGTTTCTGATGCCTGTGTTGAAACTATTGTTGAGCCTCCTCTTATAGATTCTGACCTCAACCTTCCTATTGCAATTTGTAAAGCAAAACGGACATGTGCTAAGTATCCTATCTCAAACTATGTCTCTTATGATACTTTTTCACCCTCTTATTGTGCCTATATCTCTTCTATTGCTTCTATTTTTATCTCTCACAATGTTATTGAGGCAGTGCAATTCTCTCATTGGAAGGATGCTATGAACTAGGAAATGGACTAGAAAAAAACTAGACATGGGAAATTATTTCTCTTCCAAAAGGAAAAATTCCTATTGGATGGAAGTGGTTACACAGTGAAGCATAAAGTTGATGGCTCAATTGAAAGGTACAAAGCTCGACTTGTGGCAAAAAGGTACACCCAATCTTATGGCATTGATTACAAGAAAACATTTGCGCCAGTAGCCAAGATGAATACAATCCGAGTTATCATGTCTCTTGCTGCCCACTATTCTTGGCCCTTGTATCAAATGGGTGTTAAGAGCGCCTTCCTTAATGGAGACCTATAGGAAGAAGTTTACATAGAACTTCCTCTCGGAGTAAACATCCCTGGGAGTGAAGGAAAGGTTTGTCATTTGAAGAAATCCCTTTATACCCTTAAACAGTCCCCTCAAGTTTGGTTTGACAGATTCAGGAAAGTTGACTTAAAAGTTGGTTTCTCATAGTCACAAGTTGACCATACCTTGTTTATTAGGAGAGCAAATGGAAAAATAACTATGTTGATAGTATATGTCGATGATATTGTTATCACAGGGGATGGTATCTTTGGGATTGCTGGATTGAAGTCTTTCCTTGCTATTAAATTTGAAATTAAGGATATCGGGAATCTCCGGTATTTCCTTGGGATTGAGGTAGCAAGTTCAATGAGGGGCATTTATATTTCTCAAAGGAAATATGTCCTTGATTTGCGTCAGGAGGTAGGAAGATTGGATTGTAAACCGATTGAAACTCTAATTGATCCCAATCATAAGCTGGGAGTTTATGAGAAAGATGTTCTTCTTGACAAAGGTGTGTATCAGAGACTTATTGGTTGCCTTCTCTACTTGTGTCTGACTAGACTAGATATATCATACGCTATGGGTGTGGTCAGCCAATACATGCACAAGCCTAGATCATCTCATATGCAAGCAGTGAATAGAATACTTGCCTATTTGTATGAATGTCCAGGAAAGGGGATATTGTATTCTAATTATGGGCGTCAGAAGGTAGAGGCCTATTCTGATGTTGATTGAGCAGGTTTTATTGATGATAGGCGGTCTACTTTTGGCTATTGTACTTTGGTGGGTGGTAATGTTGTATCTTAGAAAAGTAAGAAGCAATCATTTGTGGCTCGTTCTAGTGTAGAGATAGAGTATAGAGCTAGGGGTGAGCAAAAAAATCAATTAACCGAATCGGTCGGTTTGGTTTCGGTTTGATATTCTTAAAAAACCAAAAATTTTGATTCAGTTTCGGTTAACCTTTTACAAAAACTGGAGGTTAACCGAACCAACCAGTGTATATAATGTATATAAGGTATTATATAATATATATTATATATTATATTTATATTTTTAAAATTGAATAACCTTATCGATGTGTGTTTGTCACACTAAAAAGGCGTCTGTCACTCTGTCTGCATATTGTCTGTCACGCCAGGTTAGCCTAGCGCCTTTTCAATTTTCAAAGAAGTCCCAGAAAAAGTAAAAGCTTAACCTTAGTACCTTATCTCTCCATGTAAATTTGTTATTTTTAAAATTCAAATATCCAATAAACAAACATGTGTGCGTCTGTCTCCGCCTGGCGCCTTTTTACTCTTTCCTCTTTTCAAGTTTTCCCTCTTGGAAACCTAAACCGTAATAGGCAATAGGCTTTCTCTCTCTTAGTCTCTTTTGTGATTCTTCACTTTTTCCTCCTTGACTATCTTTGTCTTCCTAGTTTTTTCTTTGGCGCGTCCTTCGACCGATGGCCTCTCAAGTCTCACATAGTGGCCAATTCTCCTCTTGCTTCAGTGCTTACCTACACCCCTTTCTCTCTCTGTCACCTGTCATCTTCGTCTCCGTCGCACCAACCAACAAAACGCCGGTTGCTGCCTCAACTCCATTTTTTTTTGCTCACCCCTACAACAAACAACCAAGACACAAGTCACCGCCTTAACTCTGCCAGGACCGCCACCTCCCAGGCTCTGTCGTTGTTTCTCTCATCTCTCATCTTTGCGGCTCCGCCACCTCTCAGGCCAGGTAATTTTTCCCTTTTTTTTCTTAATTTTGTGTGCAAAAAAACCAAAAAACCGAACCGCGGTTAACCGATCCACCAGTTAACCGATGGACCGGTTAACTGGTTACTTCGGTTCGGTTTTGGTTTAGATTTTTAAAAAATTGATCAAGTTGGTTTGGTTCCAAAAAAAACCACGGTTTGGTTGACCCCAATACAGAGCTATGACACATGGAGTATCGGAATTGTTGTGGTTGAAGAACTTGTTGACTAAAATGGAAGTGCAAAATGATACTCCAATGATATTATATTGTAACAACCAAGCTGCCATAAACATAGCCAACAATCATGTTCAACATGATTGTACAAAGAATATATAGGATTATCGACATTTCATTAGAGAAAGAGTTGCCAGTGGAGAGATTTGTCTACCATATGTGAGGTCTGAAGACCARTTGGCTGATTGTCTTACTAAAGGTGTTCCCAAATCAAAGCTCGCCAACAATTAGAACAAGCTAAGCATGATAAATATCTATGCTTAGCTTGAGGGAGAGTGTTAAGAGTGTGAGGGCATTTCTGTCCTTTTGTGTTTTTTTTTTTTTTTGTATTTGGGCACCTTTGTAAGTCTCAACACTTTGTTGTTGTTGTTCTTCTTCTTCTTCTTCTTCTTCTCTCTCTCTTCAACATCTCTAAACTTTACAACTCTAAGCTTAAATCCAAGATGCCCCTTCAACTACAACTATAACTCTAAGATAAAAATGAGCATGCAACAACAAGAGATGATTGAAGTTGACAAAAGGATGGGTGGTGATGTGAAAGACCTTTTAAGACATTATCAGAGGTGTATTAGCGAAAACTAAATGTAGTGGTGATGTAAGCGACCGTGAATTTTTCATTGATCAAAGATTGAAAACATTGTTTTATTGGCAAAAAGTAGATGTGGCAGGGATATAAACAATTGTGAAATTTTCATTGATCAAATATTGAAAACAATGTTTTTTTCGAGGCCTATTTCGGGGCTCAATTCGAAAAGATCGAGCAAGCGCAGGAAGAGACAAGGAACGCCCTCTAGATCCTCCTCTAGCGGGCAGCCCCGATCAAACAATCTCCCTTCAGTTCGGCTCCCACCGTCATCCCTCATACTTCCAATCCAGCTCCTACTACGCCAGAACAACCCATCAGAATCAACCCTACCCCCACAGACAGGGCAACATTCTTCTTCCCAGTCCAAAATCTTCCCCCAAGTTAACTTAGTTAAAAGACTCCACTTAGTCGGGAGGAGCTAAAAGATTACGTTCAAGGGCTAGTGGTGGAGAGCTACAACCGGGCCCAGGATTCGGTCATTCTGCAAAAATGCCACTCTGACAGAATCCTGTAAAAATCCTATCCTGTTGGATATACCCCTCCTCAGCAGTGGCCCCAATACGACAGACAGAAGGGAAGCCCACAAGAGCACATCACCAAGTCCGAAGATGTTCAAGGGTCTTTCGCCCTCGATGGTGACCTAAAAGTCCATGAGTTTTCAAAATCTTTAGCGGAACAAGCCAGCACATGCATGGTTTGTCAAGCTCACTGCCAGAAGCATATATTCGTGGGACGAATTGGCCAAAAGATTCTTGTCCAAATGGTTCACGTTGGAGAGAAAACTAACAATGGCCGATCTAAGGAATGTAGAGCAGCAATCAGGAGAAGACCTTTTGGCTTACATCATGAGGGTTCAGAAGTTGGCCCATGCAATGTTCAACGAACATGCCACGAAAAAAGGTTTCGTTGAACAATGCATTCAAGAAATGAAAGCTGCCTATAGAATAGGCATTGAGAATGTTGAGATAGAAACATTCAGTCAATTGTGGTGTTGCGCGGAAAGGACAACGTGCATATTCAAAAGCGTCACAATCTAGTCCTAGCCCATACCAGGACAATTCGGAAGAAATGAGGCCTACACATTTAACCGCATGCCCCACAATAGCTTAGGGCCCAGGCCAATGCCCAATTTCCGAAATAATGGCCAAGGTAGAAGAAACGACCTGCTAGTCCCTCCTTTTCCCTGCATAAGAGAGGAAGTAGTGATAATAATGAACACACTGGTGGAGGAAAGGGTAATCAACCTACCACCACCGCTAGTCGAAGTGGATCTGGAGAAAGACAGGCACAAAGGACGATGGTACAACTACCACCAATCTCCTCACCACGACTTGATGGGTTGTTTCTCACTAAGAAGGTTGTTCGTGCAAAAGGTGAAATTGGAAGATTTTGTGAAGCGGAACCCCATGCAGGTAGAGATCGATCAGCTCCCAACCTACACTCAAGGAGGAAGCATCAACGTGGTGGGAGCATCGGCCCAGTACCAACCAAACCTGCTAAAAGAAAAGTTAGAGCAAAGCCCGGAAGCTCCAACACCTTTTGAACAAACAAGGAGCAAGCTCGTCAACAAGGAAGATAGACATTAGGGCCTTAGTGGAGGTGTTCAAAAGACTCCTAGAATCCTATCGACCTGACCGCACCAGCATAGAATTCACGCCGGAGGATATGCTAGCGGTAGACCCTCACCACAACTGGCCCCTATATGTCACAACAAGGGTGGGAGGTTTTGAGATGAGAAGATCCATGGTCGATCCTGGCAGCTCTGTTAACCTCATCTCTGTTCACACTCTGAAATTAATGAATATACAATAGGATGCAGTAAAGGTATTGCCCATGGACGTGACCGACTTCAATGGGAACGTGTTTGTAATGGAGGGATCCATCGAGTTGCAGGTATTAATTGGGCAGTTCTTTGTCACGTAGGAATTCCATGTCATTTCGGGCAAAACCGCGTATCATACTCTGCTAGGGCGACCACTGATACACAACTTGGTCCTCGTCCCATCGACATTCCACTAGTGCATCAAGGCCAAACATAAGGGACACATGATTAGGATTCTAGCAACTAGGGTCCCCTTTGACAAGTCAGAAGCTCATTTACAGGACGCGATTTACTACACGGAGCTAGCCAATGAAGGCAAGATGAGAGTGGTCAAAGTAGAAGGAGTGCAGCTGCCAAATCCACRAACAATYCCCCAATCGCGCAAGAAAAGAAGAAAAGAACGAGGTGCGTACGGGTGACCAATGACGATGGGAAGAGATATTACACCATCATCACGACCTATGAAGATGGTGAGTCACCAACAACCAAAAGGGCTATCCCAGAGGTACGATTTTGTGTTTAGCCGTCAATATATAAGATGTTATCATGATTAGTGTATTCCAGTCACTATGCTCGAGTTATATATACCTATGCTTTTTTTTTAAAGAAAAGAGAAGACCATGCATCCAAAAGAGAATGAAAGTATCACTTCCTTTTAATAAGACATGCCCGTGAATTAAAAGGGCATCTTGATGATCTCCACAAAAGGACATCATGATGATCTCATTGCAAGACAATATCTCACAACTGGAGAAAATGTCACCAATACTAAAGGTACAATATCATATAAAGAAGAGAAAACTGTCTATACGCAAACCACCAACAAAATTAAAAGGCGCTAAAACTTACCTGTGATAATAGTTATGCGAAGAGGAGACTGTAGAATATTACGATGAGAGTCAGGCACCTCCTAGACATATGAGAGACTCCATTGTACATATCAACCAAACTAGGAGTTGAGGATAGAGAAAACATGATCGCACTACTGAAAGKTAAGAACCTTTCCCTATTGCAAAACATTACAACCCATTCAAATGGCTAATCTGTGTGCACTCTCATAGAGTTCCAAGATGTCTTCGCTTGGTCATATGACTAGATGCCAGGGCTGGACTTAGCCCTAGTTAGGCACACCTTATGTATAGATCCCAAAGTTAAGCCTATAAAGCAGCCTCAGAGAGTCTTCAAACCGGAAGTAACCTTGAAGATCAAAAAAGAAGTGGAACGGCTTCTGAAAACAGGGTTCATCAAGCCATAGCACACCCCCAATGGTTAGCAAACATAGTGCTAGTAGAGAAGAAGAATGGGCAACTCAGTTTTGTACTTTAAAAGTTTAGTTATCTGACCATAGTACACCTG